CTCTTGCTCTCTGTAAATAAAGCAAAGCCACTTCCTCGTCCGACATTAAACAGAGCCCGACAGGGGGGGGGTCTTGCTGTGCGAGCGCTTCAAGAGCTGACCTGCGTCTGACCTCAAAGTGCACAAGCGATCAACTTGAAGCGTTGGATGCGATTTTGAAGCTGAAATCGCGTTCGGTGTGAACGCAGCAATATAGTCCTGAAATACRGTCATTTAAATAAATATAAATGGTGTTCTTTAAACTTTGATGTGGGCCAAGACCACTTATAAAGACGGGGCTCCGTTGATCTAATTCTGTAAAGATTTGTGTTAAAACTCTGTTTCTGCACTGAAAATTCAAGCTCTCCACTGAGCTTCATAACAAACCCATATGTGGACCTTCCACACTCATGCTCCATGCTTTACCCTGGGAGGTATGCCGTGTACCTGCAGCACGCGCTCCTGCTCTTGCTGCCACCTTTCCTGACGCTTTCGCTCCTCATCCGGGTCCCAAGACCAGCGGTTTCCCCGCCTGGCCTGGGGCAACACCGGGACAGACACCTGATAGACCCCAAAACACACACACACACACACACAAAGACACATTTCCACACACGTGCACAAACACAACATGTCATGCACACATTGACATCCGTTCACAAAGAGGTTCACAGCAACGTCGTACACACATCCACAGAAAAAGAAGAGAAGGGAGAAGACAGAAATATTTGGTCTACCACAACAGCACTACTCCATTGCTAGCCAAACGACTCCTACTAAGGAGAGAGAAGACAGAGAGAGAAACAGATGAAAACACCCTCGTCTGGCATGCTACATCCTGCAACCATTAACCCAGCGCCATTCTGTACAACACAACACATTAAAGGCTGAGAAAAAAAAAATAGATAATTGACATTTTTTGAGACCCATTGCTCTCCTAAAAAAATGTAAAAACACACAAACYGTGTCCAATTAAATACCTTTCCATAACAATTTAACAACTCGTGTTGCAAATAGTGCATTCRACTTTATGAGACATTAAAACACACAATAAACCTGGATTAAGAAGTTAAGGTTGCTCAAATAAAACACGACCTTTTGCTCATTTCCACAGGAAGAGAAGAGATTAACTCGATGAGAAGCGGAGAGAGAGAGAGATGGATCAAAAGGATTTTACTCACATTTCCACAATGATTCTTCTCTGGGTCTTCTGTAGAGGAGGGAAAGAAAGGTTAGAAAATGCCTGCAAACAATCTGCACAACAGTGATCAGACTAAATCAATGCATTTTTATATCTAAAATAAATAAATGAAAAGATCAGACGATGGTTTGACAATCTGAGTAAAGATGCTGATGAAAGAAGAAAATAAAATCAAAGAACAATAAGTGAAATCCACCAACAGCAACWGATCCTTTTCATAAATTATTAGTTAAAAGATGAGTTAACCAACAATTAGTCCATTAACGGCCTTTGACGTTATTTTTGATTAAATCTGGCATCTGGAACTGTGACTTTCATAGTGAGTGTGATCATGTTAGAGTAGATCTGATGACGGTCGGTTGCTGTTGGTTTTCATGGAACAGCCAGTAACGTAAAGTAAAAAAGATTGAGTTAGAAGTGACCAGAGTGGACAGTATTCTTATTTTGCCCTGCAAAATGGRTCAACTTGTCTCTAACAGCACAAAGATGACACAGACAACAACTCCTGCTATGAAGCAAAGTTGTAGCATAAATAAGAAACTTCAAAATTACACTTAAAACAAATAAAACCCTGTCATGTACGGTGCAGTATGGGGGTCAAAATTAAGACCATTGTGCAACCAGCGGTTGCCAGCTATTGATCTGGTTAATGATAGGCCGGCACCGCTAACTGAGCAGCTGGCCCCAGTAACAGAGGCTGGTGCTGGCAAATGAGAAGGAAACTAGCTTATCCACGCTAGTCGCTAGCCTCTCCAGCGCTAAAGCCAGCCTATTCATGCTAGTTGCTAGCCTCTCCAATGCTAATGCCAGCCTATTCATGCTAGTCGCTAGCCTCTCCAATGCTAATGCCAGCCTATTCATGCTAGTCGCTAGCCTCTCCAATGCTAATGCCAGCCTATTCATCCTAGTCGCTAGCCTCTCCAATGCTAATGCCAGCCTATTCATCCTAGTCGCTAGCCTCTCCAAAGCTAACGCCAGCC